TTTCTTCAAAATTTTGTTATTTAACAATAAATAAAAAAAAGAAAAATTAATAATTTAAAATTAGATAAAATAGATTATAGTTTAATTTGTATTTTCAATTATATAAATAAATTTATTTTCTAATAATAATTATAATATTTTTTGAATAATTGCTTTACTATAATACTTTAGTAAGAAAATTACAATTTTAATATTTATTGAATTAATATATAAATTGGATTTTTATAAAAAACAATACTTAATAGATTATAATATTAGATATCATATTAATTTTATTCAATTGTCTTTATATAAAATTGAACTAATATCTTGTAATTTGATTTATAAAACATTAAATATTATATTATAAATTCACATGTCTTTTTTTATTTTATTTTTATTTTACTTATTTATTTTTTATAAAATAATTAAGATAAAAATTTTTTAAATTATATTTTAATTTGACAATAAATTAAAATAATGGTATTTATTTTAAAATTAATCAAAAAAATATAATTTGTAAAAAAAAATTTTTAAATATTATTATAAATTATATTATGGATATTAATTAATTGATTAAAAAAATTACTTGAATAAAAAATATTATTAAAAAAATTAGAAAAAATATTATTTTTAAAAATAATATTATATATAATAATATATAATATTTTATTTAATAAAAATTAATTAATTAGTTATAAATAATAAAATACAAGTATATTAATAATTACATATATAAGGGTTTTAATTTTGTTTAAATTAGAAAATAATTTTTTTAATAACAAATAAATTTAATAATAAATTTATTTCTTGTTTTGTTTATTTTTTATTTATTTATTTTTATTTTTAATAATTTTTATAAAGAAAAAAATATAATTTAAAAATATTATATTTAATTATAAAAATAATTTATAAAATTTAATCGTATTAAAAATTTTTAAAAAATTAATTTGTTAAAAAAAAAAACAATAATATTTTTTTTTTTTAATTTTATTTATTACAATTATTATAATTTAGTAAAGATAAATTTTCTTATTGTATTGTTTTTTTTATTTAGGTCTTCCTAAGCTTTTATATTATTTGAATCTTATTTTTAATAATAAACAAGCTTTTTGAAATATTTAAAAGAACTTATTTTTGTTATATAAAATATTATATTTTGTAAATTTAATATTTTAATATATAATATTAAAAAAATATGATTTTTTATGAGACTAAAATTGAAGATTTTTTAGTATTATAAAAATTATTTCGATTTTATTTATATTTTGATTACAAATAATATTAAGATAATTTAATAAACTTATATTAATATTTTTAATTAAATTTAATTAAATTTTAATCTGACAAATACGTAATATGTGCATATAAATTTGAATATCTTATTGGTTCTAAATAACAACAATAATTTGTCGAGCTTATAAATATTATTTCAAATATAAACTATAACAGTTGAAATTATTTTTATTGATTTTAGGTAATCCAATTAGAAATTAAATTAATAAAAACATTTTTTCTATTCGAAAAAATTAATGTGTAGGATTTGTTGAAAGATCGGAAAATCCACTCTTGTGTAACGTTTTCACAGTGCTGGGTATCATGTGCATATGCTCACGATAATTTATATTTTTTTTCGGATATTAGATATGAACAGAGGTCGCGGGGGACAAAGCTTCAGAGGTCGAGGTCAGCGCGGCGGAAGGGGAAGCGATCGAGGTAAATGTATAAATGTATTTCAAACTGGACACGTTTTCTTTGATAATTTTGTTACTTACTACTACTCGACTGCATTCCCAGGCCGAGGTCAACCTCAATCTTTCATATCGGCCGAAATAATAGGTAAAAACGTTATGAACATGGTCCTTGGTATAAATATTGACGAATTTATGGCGCCTATTATTAGAGATGGGTACTTTTCTACACGCATGTGAGGGTGACATGGTATGCCTTTCAACCAACAAAAAAATCCCATACTTTAACGCACCAATTTATTTACCGAATAAAAAACCAATCGGTAAAGTTGATGAAATTCTTGGTCCTATGAACGAGGTGCACTTTACCGTGAAACTCCAGGAAGGTATTGTGGCCTCATCATTTAAGCAGAATGATAAAGTTTTTATTGGCGAGGACAAGCTACTGCCTCTCGAAAGGTTTTTGCCGAAACCTCCGGTTGCTAAAAACAAAGGTATTTGAATTGATTATATACTATCGTTTTTCACGCCAAGACGAAGTTCAAATTATCTCAAATGTACATTGTATAAAGTAGCTAAGAAGAAAATGCCGGGTCGTGGTAAATATTAATTGAGAACGATATTTGACGTTTTCACTGATTTTCGTTGATTCTCTGATTCATCATTAATTATTTTCAATAATTATAGAAAGGGCACCATTTCGACCTGGCGGTCGTGGAAATAATCAAGGATTTCGAGGTGGTGGCGGCGGAAATCGTGGCGGTGCTCGTGGTCGTCGTGGCGGTGCCTTTCGTCGTAGGTAAACTGAATCACAGTAACTTTGGAATTCATCACAATTTGATCGGAAGGTTCGGGGTAGTTAGTGTACATAAATAACATCAGTGCTTAACGGAAATAGTAATCAAAAGCAAACCTTTCCGCAAATAATCGAAAAAAAAGATTAAAAATAATAAAAATAAATAAATAATTTAGACATAAAGAAGTCTTTTATTATTATATTTACTGATTTGATAATTAATAATTGCAAAGGAAAATTTATAAGAAAAAAATTTATTTAAATTATCATTATCCAAATATTGAAAATTTCATATTACCTAATTCATTGAGTTAATATTTATTTTATTTAAAATAAAAAGATTACTATTTTGTTTGACATTTTTCATAATGTTAATACCGTATACACCAACCAATAATTCAATCGATTACAAATAATGACATATTAAATGATATAAAGCGACTGGTATGAACAATAAAAAAAAAAATAACTGTAACACTCCAATTGTTATGATATGAAACTTTAGTACAAATTTAAATGAATTCGAGCATAAACGTTGACAACATTGTCAAACGCGGAGCATATAATATCTTATGTTTATAATCTTTAAAAACCTATTATATTTCCATAAACATATCTATTTGACATCCCATCATGCGCACATTTGCTCCAACAGTTTTAGAACGTTATGACAATTGCTTATAGATTCCACTCTTTATAACTCAATTATAAATTAAAGTTAATTACACATATTTTATATATTTAAAGTAATCATACAGAGTAAAGTAAACCGTTTCGCTATTTACTTTCAATCGTTTCATGCGTCTTTCTTTTGGTACTCTACTATATGAATATTTATTGTTCGATGGTGAAATTGCTTTCTTTTGGCTAATTCACAAACTGCAATGCCGCGCAATGCTATTACAGGTGATGACAAAAAGTTTGCGTACACTTATTTAAGTTGGTATGGTAAATCATATCTAATATCACTCTGTCAGCGGTTCAATTAATATCCGTCAAATAAAGTGTCAGCAAACTTTTAGTCACCATCTGTATTAACATTTATTATTCAAGATGATTGCTACCATCGTTCTATGGATTGAATCATGATGTCACGCGAAAATATCTTAGTTGTCGCGTCACGCGTATGATTAATTATAATAACCGAGAACTTTAACGGGACATCTCTTTTTCAGGGTTTAGAATTCACGTTGATCTATTTCCGAGTATTTAATGGAGAATTCAAGCATCAGGATATATGTTATGCACTAACTCGAATAATATTAGGTATCTTGGAAGCGTAGCCTGCAAATTGAAAGTTGGTTCGTAAAGTTTCCTTTTAGGTAAGACGAAACATGAATTCTTTTGAATGCTAATGCACTCGCCTTGTTTTTATCTACAATTATAATGTTCCCAGGAGTGGAAGATACGACATCTACAACAAACATACCCATTACGTTTTTGAAGAAGCGAGCGTATTTATTAAAGCTTCTGCAGTATCCCAAAGAAATTTGGGAACTATTTGCAAACCACATCCCTTTTTTAACAATGGAAAGCGTCTTCGTAAGAAGCGACAGAAATCAACAAAGAAATTTTTTGTTATGAAAAATAACTTACTTCCATTAAACCGGGAATATCTCCTTTGGTTTCCCGACTGTGCAATTCCACATAACCCACATCCGGTCTTACAAAATGAAATATTTCCGTCAATAAATCTTTGAGGATCGCATGACACTTTGGTACCATGAAACATTCGGTAAGTATTATTTTGTGTTGGAGATGCGCATTGTAATGCTATCTCTTTTTTATAATTCTCATGAGCCGCCACCAATTTATTTGGCATCTGAAGACGAATAATTGCGAGAATTCTAGATCGCGGAAGTCCATTAGAAAATAACTGTTTAATAGCTATATATTCTTGACTTGGTTCGGAAAGAACTATCATTTGCGTTTTGATACTACGTTTTTTCCTTGAACTCGGTGATCTTGGAACAGAAGCCTGTTCTTCGACAATGTTGACGCCCGTTACTGGCGCACCTCCTTTTACAGTAGAAGCAGTATTACAGTCGTTTTGCTGTTGACTATCAAGTGGTTGAGATAAATTATTGAAACAAAATTCACATCGTTTGTATCGCGAATCATTGAGACAAGCACAAAAAAGACATTTTGTCATAATTATGAGATCGGGTGTTTCACTATCTAAATTCTTTGAGGGTGACGTAAATTCTGACAAAGTCGGTATTAATTTGAGTGAAGTGGAACATATTTTACACTGGTCATTTCTAGGATCATTGAATGAGCAACATGAGGAACATTGTATCTCCACACCATCATACAAAAACTCCCCGGTATTATTGAGATTGAGGGGTTCTAAGTTTGCATCGCACATCAAGCATCTAATCAAAAACGAGCCATTCATGAAGCTACATGATGGACACGCGATCAGAGATTTATCTGAAACGATGGTGGATGTTAACTTATTAAACGACCAATTGTCTTTCGACACAGCTTGTGGCAATTGCGGCAATTCCAAATTTGATGGTGGCTGCGGTGATAACCAACATGACGTTGGTGTTAGTTGTGGTAATGGTTGTAGATGCGGCAGTGACCAATCTAACGAAGTCAAATTCGTTGGCGCACAATTTAACTGTGTGCAATCTTTTGTCGGTTGGTCTGGATTAATATCTCCTCCATTCCGTTTCCTCAATATTGCACCACATGAATCACAATTATTCTTGTTTGGACTTGTAAAATTAAAACAAAATTGACAGGATATTTGTATGTCATCGTCATCATTAATATACTGTGTTTGTGACTTCATTCCTTGCGGTCGAAACACTGATGTCGGACGCGAAGATACGTTTCCATCATAGACCTTTGGCAACATGCTATTTATCGAAAATATCGATGAGATCGGCGGAATATAATTATCTTGAAATAGCTCTACGAAATTGTTTCTTTGCGGTCGTGTAACATTACATGGAATTGGTCCTTGCTGCGGTGGACAACGACCATTAGTGAGTGGTTCTTGTCTATTGCCATTGCCAGCAAAATAACCCGCGTCGCTAAAACTGGGAAGCAGTTGGGTGTAATCTTTCGCTTGACACATTGGACTACAATATCCACCAACGCTATCGATCGACCTATTTTGACAATTGGAATTTTTACAGACTGTGAATTGCATATTGCTTCGATAGGACATTTGACGTATAAATGATCCAATTTTCTCTAGAAATGACTTGTTGCATTTTTCCAAGTTGTCCAGTTGTACGCTTCCGCTGTCATTTCCTCTTTCCATATCTTAATTTTGATGCCAAAATTAATCGAGAACTTGAAGTAAGCAAAGACTAAGGTGGAGGATAAGTCCGGATCCCATGATATACATTTTATACTTCTTTACATTATTGGTGGCTGTGTTTGTATGACAAAATCTTGATTAGTTAAAAAGGGTGATCATAACGAAGTCAAATCCCTATGTACAGTATAATAGGGACGCGATTGCTCACAATCAGGATTTGTTTCTTTTGAAACATGTTCATTGTGCTCTTTTTATGTGTGATCAAAAAGGCAGTAATGAGATCAAGAAATATATAAACAAGGCTAAAATCATGACCAACATTGAAGAATTCATTCTAACCCAATGATGCTTTTTTGGAAAGAACAGTATTTACAAATGCGACGTAGTGTTCTTTGCAAATGTCACCAGATTGCTCAAATTTCCCCTTTTATCCTTTTATTTAACGTCAATAGTCATGTGAATTTTAAAATCACATGATTGATTCGTTGGGATCGCATAACGTATATTAGACCAGAAAAATAGAATAGAATCAAATTCAAAATCGTTAGAACCTTAATTTTTTCTACACAATATGACCTAATAAAACTTTTTATCTTGTTAATAAAAAGAATGTTAACCGTACATATCGTTGATTTTAAGCATTTATATAAAATACGCAAATATTGGGTTAATACCATAACAAAGGATTAAATAAGAAATTTGAAATTCTTATTGTAAATAAAATTCAATAACCAATTTTATTATCCGCATTTCAAATAATTTCTTATTAAATTGCAAATTAAAATCAATGTCAAATTCGTTATAATTGTTATCATCTTTATATAAGATATCTAAAAATTTGATAATTAAAAAATCCAAAAAGATATTTTTATTTAAACCTTTTAAATTGATATTAATTAATTATTGAAAAAATCAAACAATTTATAAATAAGATCACAATTTAAAAAAAATATTTATATTTATACCTGTGTGATTATTTTTTTTAAAAAAATAATAAATATCATTCCAAATTCAAGTTTTTGTTTCAATTTTCAATAATCATATATATATATATATACGTATATATATATTAAAAAAAACAATTTTAAAAATAGTTATAAGAATCTTGATTATTTCTTTATATAAATAAAAAAAAAAAAAGAAACAGATTTTTTAGATATATTGATTTGTACTATATCGATTTTTTTTTTTTTTTTTGTATATGAATTTTTGATTTTAAAGATATTGAATATATCTAAGATAATGATATCTTTGACTCATTCAATATTCGTAATTCGATATTATGATGTATATTTAATTAATCTTGGATTTTAATTCGGTCTAGTCGAAAATAATAAAAGTATATGCTGTACTGAATATTTAAAAAATTATTTTAAAACTAAATTAACAACAATCAAATCAATTTTTAACTAAAAAAAAACCCCCCATTTAATTCTATTTAATTTAACTTGCCATTCAATTATGATTTTAATAATACACATTGTTTGGATTTTTTAATAAATTTTTAAAATTTTAATTACCGTTGAAATTATTATTATATGCGGTATATACAGTATATTGTTTTTTAATGGTCGATATAATGGAAAAAAATCACCCAATTTTTTTTAACATCTATTATAATTTGGACAGCAACTAGACATAAGGCGTTAAAAATCATCTTTATTGTAACGGGTGTGACGATATACGCGAATGATCGATATATAGTTAATGTGTAATTTCACTTGGAAAAGATATTTCCTGTCGTGTGTTTATTTATGAAAATTCGGTATAATAAAAAGAAGTGACTATTATACAAAAGTTGTTCTAGAAAAATAAATGGATCAATGGTATATTTAAATAGTAATATTAATTAATGAATAAGGCTTTATCATTAATAGGGAACTTCAAGTCTTCTAAACAATTTCTGACTAATGTCATCATTTGTGATGGCCCGCATACAATCATCTTGAAATCACATGAATCCTCTTTGAGATTTCTCATGTAGCTAGAGCTATCACCATTAGTTACAATCTCAAATATCGTATCATTAACTTCTACGATAGGTTTCCTCAAGCTACCACACCCTTCTTTAGATTCCATTCTGTTTGCGGACATCGATATTGTGTCAATTAAACTGGAAGTTGTTAGAGCATCACTCGTGAAATTGACGCTTGGCGCATACCGTGATGATACGGATTTCGTTCTCTTTGGTTTTTTCTTGATGTTTTCTGTTGATTCTTTGGGTGTGTAATGTTTCGATATCCACTCAAGCAATGTCTTTTGATTTACGTAACCCGAGGAACCTTCACAATTTTCACTTGGTGCATGCAAGAGGACGTGAGTTATGGTGAGTTTCCCATTGCTTGCGGCAACAAGTTCATTTAGATATTTTGCGTCTATGATCTCATCTACCGTCTCATTTGCAAACAAGATGTGTAAGGAACGATTCGTTTGCGTGTTTCTCTCATAATGATATTGAACCTACGGGTAAAGTTGAAAAAAAATTAAGAATATGCTAATAGCTAAATAAACCAACCCATAAGTAAAATTTGCGAGGTAAAAATACTACCATTTGAAGCATAGGGGCAAGTCCGGTACCACCGCAGATCTTAGTGTCGCGTAGAGAAAAAAGATGAACCCGTAAATTCAAATTAACTTAAACCTAATTTGATACGACTTACCATGAATAATATGTCCCAGCAGCCATCAGGAGATTTTGGATTGAGTAAAACACGACGTGGCGGAGCATTTGTTCCATGTAGATGTGTTTTTCGCATAGATGGGGTCGAATGGTTGGATTGTAACAAAGAGAACATACGTTCGCCAATATCAAAAGGTCCACGAACTTTGATCTCGAAGCCTTTTAGTTGTCGGTCCTG